ACTGTTATCTTAATCTCCAGGATTAATCCAATTACAAGTGCTGCAAATAAAAATGGGAAGCCGGTGCCTAGTGAAACTGACTGAGCTGCACAACACACATGTGATCCATTTAACGTACTGTAGTAGTTATACTAAAATTATTTGATAAGACGATAACAAATAACGACATCATAACAATCATAAAACACTCTAAATATTCAAAAGTGTCCGGAGAATTAATAAAAGGAAATGAAAGAGAATTAACAACAGTTTACTAAACAAAAGCAGATACTTCAGTGCAAATTAATTAAGCGCAAATGGAAGCATCGCGCGAAGCGCGACGCTGACGAAAATTTTTGTTTTGAAGGCCGGTGAAATTCAATCAAAATTAATTAATAATATTTATTTAATTACGGATTATTCGGAGTCTCGATTGCATCCGAACCCGATCCGATCAGGTGCACAAAAACTCCGAAACCACTCCGACTCCGAATTTTCCAGATTGAAATCCGTCCAATCCGGTCCGAAAATCGGAGTGGGTTCGGAGTGGATCGGATTTCCCAGTCCGTTGCAGGGCTCTACTGTATGCAACAGTTCCCAAAGAATAATGCAGCTGAATGGACCACAAAGTTAAAGAGCGTGATATCGCTACCGGGACAATGGGAAATGGCATTGGTGGAAATACAGTATCCTAATTCAATGTACAATTTACCCAGTCCCCAAACGTTGCACGTTGACCAAATTACTTCTATGGATAGCAACGGTGTTTTCGCTATGGAGAGGGACACAATTACGGTACCTGCAGGGATCTATGAGAAAAGTGACATCATTAATTTTATCAACAGTAAAGTACCACGGTTAAAGCCATTTCGCGATTCTTCAGCGAAAGAACAGGCGGCTTTCAACTAGAATTATTTGCAACCGAGCCCAAGCTCAAAGTCAAATTTCCCAGCGTACGTGTTTTCTGGATTTTCCTCCCTCATCTTTGCATCTATCCCGTATGCTTGGATTTAAAGAACGACGATTTTCTGCTGCACAGTCTGAACAATATGAAAATTTTTTAATGGAAAAACAGATTTTGCTTCCGCAGCTACAACACTGTCCGACCAGCTGAAAGCCCTGGCAGAGTTGCAACTGTTGGAGACGTCTATAACAATGACAGCAGATAAGCCCGTAAATATGCACATTGGGAACCAGTCAATTTTTGTCTACTGCAACAAGTGCGACTACAATATTGTGGGCGATGAAACTATGCAGCTTTTGCGCGCTTTCCCCATTAAAGCAAGTGTTCCTCGCTTCGAAATTGTTTCCGAAAGGTTTGAGGATCCACATTATTTACCTGTTTTATACGATCGACTGGACACTATTGATATCAACATTGCAACTGATCTCGGAGAAGCGGCAATTTTTCAGACTGGAAAGTCAATGGTAAAGCTGCATTTCCGCCCCATTCAGTATTACTATCGCTAAAAATGCCCGTAATCCTCTTTGAGCCGTCACCATCGTTCTATCTGGATTTATTTGCGGGGGCCGCCACGGGCGCTAGTAGCCAGCACGGCTATGGAGCCGTCATGACACGCTATCGCGGGAGTTTAATGCAAAATGGCAGCGGATTTATGCTACCTAATTTCCTGCGCGCAATGTTTAGTAAATTAGCGCATTTTGCTGCCCCGGTTATTAAAGCAGCGGCACCACATGCCAGAGCAGCAATGGAAGCAGCAAAGCCCCACTTACGCGACGCAGCGACAACAGTTTTAAGTGAAACATCCAAGAAGGTAGGAGAAAATTTCGGAAGCGTTAACTGCGCAACCTCAACAGCAAGGAGGCATCAAACGGCTCAAGCAGCAGCACAAGAGGACAAAAAAGATAAAGAAACCTTCCTTCCGACTTAAACGGCTTAAACGGATTCCCCCAAGAGAATTTGAGGACGCATTTTAAAATGGCTTTTATTTTGGAAGGAAGCGTGCCAGCTATGCAGGTCGAGTCGGATTTATTCTCCGTTCCGGCCACTCTAGCGGATTTTGTGCGGACAGAAGAAGAACGCATTCTACCAACATCAGGGCAAACAGAAGAAATTAGTTCTGGAGAAATTTCCTTTACATTCCCCTTCAACGTCGGCGCTGCTAGTGCTACCGGAAATTACGCTAGAAATGGATATTGCAATCAAAAAGCAAATTGCAGGACTTGGTGCGGCTACGCATATTGAAAACACGGATCTGGTAGCACCAGTGAACTTGATTGCGCATTCTATATTCAGCTCGGTAGAGGTAACAATGGCCAACCGCCTGATAACTAATTCCACCCCATTATATGCCTACCGAGCGTACTTGGAAAATTTGTTGGGGTACACACCGGCTGCCCTAAAAGCCAGGCAACAAGTGCTGGATTTTATATAGACACTCCCGGGTACCTAGAAGATCATGCCAATAACGCTGGAGAAGTAACGCGAAAAGCTATGTTTGTGACCAACGAGTACGTCCCGTTCAGCGCCAAATTATGTACGGACATTTTTCAGCAGGGAAAAATTTGATCACCGGTGTACCGCTACATGTGCGCCTCATTTTGAATAAGCCGGAATTCTACCTGCGTACATATGCCAATCTTCCAGTGGATACCTTTAAAGCATACATTCGCAATCCGCGGTTGTACGTCAAACGCTTTGTGCCTAATCCGGCATATTTGTCTGCGCTTACTGCCCAATTATCGACAAAGACTGTGAAATACCCTATTGAGCGAGTGTGTATGCGTGTTAATGATATTGGTATGATTCAGAGCACAGTGCTGGCTAATTTACATATTGGAGCAGTACCCAAATGTGTTTTTGTGGGATTTGTAAAAAGCTCGAGTTTTCACGGGCTGCGCCGAGGTAATCCGTTTAACTTTGAACATTTCAATCTCAACTATATAAGTGTCGAAGTCGACGGACAGTCGTATCCCGCACAAGCCTACCGACCAAATTTCGCCACGGGTGATTATTTGCAATCATATGACGGTCTGTTGGAGACGCTCGGCCGCTTGCACGCACCGGACGGGGCGCTGCCTTTCGACCGTAAAGCATTTGCGGAAGGATTTTCTATTTGGGGATTCGATCTGACACCTTCACGGACAGGCCGGGGACCGATGAGCACCGTGCGCCAAGGAAATCTATCAATCCGCCTGCAGTTCGCCGCCCAATTAACTGAACCAATTATGGCCATTACGATGATGGTGTGGGATAATATTATTGAAGTCAATTCACATCGCCAGCTAATTGCGGATTTTACAGCGTAAAAACCTAACGTAAGTGTTGTAAGACTTAAAAATGCCGTGTTGTTGCCTGCGCGGTAAGCTTCAGGGTCGCCAGCGGGGGTGGGCGCACCGTCGGCCCCTTTTGACGCTGAAGAGAATCGTGACGGATGTGGTAAACAATGGGCGACCGGGCGCTTCGCGCTCTCGGTCGCCGTTGTTACAGGACAAAGTGTAAAAAAAAAAAAATTCAGATTTTATTTTGAATGCAGATCGGCACTAAAATGGACACTGCTGAAATCGACCACGTGCTACGTTCAAGTACCGTGACGAAAGATGCTTTATTGGTGTATTTGCTGCGGACATGTTACCACCGTCCCTGCCAATGAAGCTGCCATGGGCATGCGTTGTCAATACTGACGAAGCTGCAAAGCCAGGCTCGCATTGGTTGGCGTTCTACCAGGACGTCCCGGGAAAATTGGAATATTTTGACTCTTATGGTCACGAACCGAGATTTTACGGCATCCATATTGAAAGTTTTTGCAAGAACGCCGAGTTAGTTATTTCGCAAGCGCATCGTTTACAAATGGAATGGAGTACCGTGTGCGGACAGTACTGCTGCTTTTTATTCTAAAACGATGCTCCGGCGAGTCATTTACCTCTCTTATTCATTTGTTCACCAATAGCAAATCGTCGAATGATCGAATGGTTTGTGCTTATATTAATCATTATTTTGATTTGAACACTGTAATACGTGATCGCTCTATGATAATTCAGTCTGTTTTCCGTCAAATAATGCAATAAAGTCTGGCCATCCAAACCCTTACGTATGAGTGTAGGTGTAGTTACTTTGTACCGCAACAAATTGCAGTGCAACAAAATATTACACTACAGCAACATTGCGCTGCCATGTGGATGTTTTGTTTCGAAATATAAACAGGACATCGCATTTTGTACTCGTGGTCTTGCCAAAACATGTGCTTCATAGCAGTTTTTCCTTACTGCATCTATTTCTATTTGGCGAAGCAGAATGGTTTTCGAATTGTTGTGGACATCAAATGGTATAATCGTAATGAGAAGTCAATTATAACGGAACTGGCAATTAGTTCTGTTGATTTCCATTGTCTATATTACACCCGATTTTTGCTTCCTCCGGATAATTACATTGTTAGCAAGTACGGCATCAGTTCCACGAATGTCGATGAAATATTTGTTAAAGATTTCTCGGACCTGGAGATTCAGATAAATCGAGCGTTCAGAAACTATCTGCAAAACGTTAAAGACCCCCTAAGCGTTGTTTTCTACGCAAAAGGTTCAGAAAAGTGCGGTATTATCCAGGATTTATTAAAATCTGATTGCATCAACTTGGACTCGTTAGGCTGCCCGCGCTTTTCCGATTTATGCAATGACAGATGCTACAGTCCCAACAAAGCGCAGGCTTACTCAAACTGGATGCTGACTCAGTATCTAAAAAGTTCCAAAAAATGCTTGCTTTGCCGCATGCCGATCCCCGACACTGGCGTTCGTCATCATCGACGATGGCGCAGTCGAATTTCAAGACCAGATCTAAATTACTATTCGGGTACGTGCTCAAATTTTGATGTTCTTTTTAAAACATTTCTGACAAGGTTTACGAAATTGCAGATGAACAGGGTAACAGGTGCTGCATCCGTTGTGGAGCTGTATTCATTTCCGGTGAGGACCGCACTGAACAAAAAAGGATCGCGGATATTAACATGCCTGACATTTTTAGCGCATGAATCATTGAGCGATCTGTTTGGAAAATTCAGATGATAACAAAAATGCTGTAGCGGAATTTATTCATATATAATCTGAGTATCTTGGGTGCATCTTTGAGACTAGTAAAATCACGTTGCCAGAGCTCGTCTTTACGATGACGCAAGTACCTGATCGTGTACAGGGCAACTCTAACGCCTGTACTAGTAACCCACAGTTTGCTGATACCGCACTTTTCAATCATGATTATGCTCTTCTTGATCATAATTATACTGTACCACGAGCTGATCTGCCAGCTTTGAATATAGCTGACGAAGTCGATCCAGACTTGAATGACATTAAAGATTATTATGTGCTCGAAAATATCGGAGCAAAATATTCCCAGAAATTTTCAGTTTCGTTCGAAACTTACAAATGTACAGTGACGGGGCTGGATAATCTATCGTTCAAGTATGCTGTTAAAACGATAACACTCGTTTTGAAAGATATTCTGGAGAGTGTGATTGCTGCGATTCCAGCGCATAACCTGGTGCGAATCCGCATGTATCAAAATGCTCTGCAGTATCCAATTTGGATGCCACCTATTCGGCGGGACCAAATAACAATTGAACGGTGGATGACGACAATAAGGCGGATTCTAAACTCTAATCAGGCTTTTCTGCTAGACGAATCATTTGAACTGTCAGTCCAGCACACTGATTTGCCATCCGGATCATGCAGAAAAAATGTATCAAAATTGTTGCAGCGGATTTTAGACAACAAAAGATGTATTACCCAGATTCGAAATACGGACTGTTTGTGTATGGCCAGGGCTATAGTTGTGGCACAAGCGCATGCAGATGGCGACAAAGAGCTGTACACAAAGCTTTACCGAACCATAAAGTTGCAAGACCAGAAGACAAAAGAATTATTGTTGACTGCCAACCTGCCAAACAGAGAATTCAACGTGCAAGATATTCCCCGCTTTGAAGAAGTTTTACCGAATTATCAGTTTATTGTGGTATCTGTGGATCATGGAAATTCTATCGTCTACTGCGGCGCCTACTGCGAAAAGCGAATTATGCTGCTGCATCACGATCAACATTTTGATGTTTTAACATCTTTACCGGCCTATTTTGAGCACCACTATTACTGTTACCGTTGCATGAAAGGCTACGATCAAAGACAGTATCACCGCTGCGAGTTCAAGTGCCACCAGTGTTTGTCTGCAACTTGCAAAATGAATAAGCAAGAAACCATACACTGTCTGGACTGTAACCGCGATTTCTATGGGCAAGATTGTTTTGACAGACACCAAGCTGGGAGCAGCACCATCTGCGCAAATTTTTTCATTTGCCGTGAGTGTAAAACCTTTGTCTCCATGGTAAATCGCCGTATGAAGACCAATTACGATACAATTCATGGTGAGGACAATGACCAGGACCACGATATTGCTAAGGAAATCGAACTAGATGTTGACGATCAGCAACATCGATGTGGTGAGGTTTTGTGTGCGACTTGCTCGTTATTCTATATGCCGGAGGAAAACCATGTGTGTTATATGAAACCCGTGGAATTTACGGATAAAGAAAAGGCCAAGCACCATAACGACAAGCTGGCATACTTTGACCTGGAAACATATCAAGACGAGAGTGGAGAATTTAAAGTCAACCTAGCGGTGATCGCGACAAAAAATGAAAAATTTATTCTTCCAAAAACGGTAATATTAACGGCGACATTTCACAAGAACTTGGCGATTTCATTTTCAGTGAGCGTTTCCGTGGCTACACATTTATGGCGCACAATTTGAAGGTAGCGAAAGTCAACACGTTAAGTAACTTCTTTATTAAATAAATTGATAATTTATTTTTCAGGGATTTGATGGATACTTCATTTTGAATTATCTCGTGAAAAACGGCGTTATTCCACGTCCGCTTATTTTCAACGGGAGCAAGGTTATGCAGATGGACGTGCCCAAACTCAAAATAAAATTTCGTGACTCTATGAACTATGTACCATCATCGTTAAAAAATTTTGCGAAAGCATTTGGTTTGCAAGAAACCAAAGGAGATTTCCCACACAAACTTAATACCCCTGAAAACTGAAATAAAATAACTGCTTGGCCCGATCGTCATGACTATGGCTATCAGTCTATGAAAAAGAAAGAACGAAAGCGCTTCATGAAATGGTACCGCAAAGAGCGACGCCGTCACAGGAACAAATTCGACTTTAATGCACACTTTATCAAGTAAGCTAAACCCTTATGCTATTTACAGAATCGAACTTATCCGATTCGTTTTAGGTATTGCTCACAAGATGTCCTCATTTTGCAACAAGCGTGCGAAAAATTTCGAGCGCTTTTCCAACAGGTAACCGATGGATTATGCCCATTTGCGTCTGGACTAACCACACCCGGCATGTGCAATTACTTTTGGAGAGCGCGAATGCTGAAGGAAAACCAAATTGCGTTGATCGGCCCTCCTGGTCAGGGCAAAAGTCATCTGTCAAAGGAGAGCGTTGGCTACGCTGGATTGAAATGGAAAATGATGTAAAATTGCAAAAGAGCATCGAATCGGTCACTGGACTGTGGATGGTTTTGATCGGGATACAAAACCGCTTACGAGTTTTTAGGTTAGTCAGCTCGATATAAATGTTATCGATCACATTCAAAACGCAATTCACCTTCAATGTTTTTGTGCAGGATGTATGTGGCACGGCTGCAGCGAATGCACAACAAAAGCACGCTGCATCCCTTTCTGAAACGGCCAATGGAGGAAGTTAACAAAGCAACTGCCTTACGCCTTGAAGCTATCAAAACTATGGGCTATTCCGTAGTTTCGATCTGGGAACACGACTATGATAGCCGGCTCACTACTGACCTGGAATTTCAGAAAATAATTCAGTTGACCGGTATTGAAGAACCTATGCACCCCGAGACGCATTTACTGGTGGCAGGACAAACGCTATCAAGTTGTACCACAAGTGCGATCCTGGAGAAAAAATCTATTCGCTCGACGTTATCAGCGAATACCCTTATATTAACAAAAATCTACCTTATCCGGTGGGACCGCCTGTTATCATTACTAAAGATTTTCCGCCTGTGGAGAGTATTTTGGAATAATTAAATGTCGCGTCATTCCTCCACCGTCGTTGTTTTTTACCGGTGCTACCTTACAAAACTGATAAACTGACTTTTCCTTTATGCGCTAAATGCGTGACGGAACGCGTAAGCGAACCATGTTCTCACGATGATGAGGACAGGGCTCTGGAAGGAACTTGGTGCACTCCAGAAATTCATCGAGCATTAGAAGTTGGCTATCGTATCGATAAAATATACTCGGCTTGGCACTATCCAGAACAAATGCAGTATTTATTCAGAGAATACATTGACCTGTTTTTGAAGCTGAAAACGGAAGCTTCTGGATATCCACCACAGTGTCAAACGGAAGATGAAAAGACAGATATATTCAAGAATTCCTTGCTAAAGAAAATATTCTACTGGATAAAAGAATATTGCGAAAAACGACGCATTGAGAGCTCTTTGCAAGCTTATGCTAAATAGTTTTTGGTACACATGTGAACTTATTTAATTTGTGCATGTTCATTATTTTTACGCTCATTGCAGGGGAAAATTTGGTCAACAGGAAGACCGATCCAACACGGATATGGTGGAAAAGAAAGAGGTATTCCATGATTACTTGTTTTCTAACAAGTACGAAGTCGCCGGGTTCGATTTGGTCACCGATGAAGTTATGGCAGTTCAATACCGCTCCAAGAAGGACTACATTGCGACGAGCAAAAAGACCAATGTTGTTATCGCAGCTTTTACGACTGCGTACGCACGGCTACACTTATTAAAATTCATGGAAATGGTTGGAGACCGTTTGTTATACCACGATACAGGTGAACGCGCGAAACAGTATTATCGGCAAATTGCTCATCCACTTCTTTATTTTGCAGACAGCATTTTCTACATCCATAGAGACGATTTGCCCGATCCACCAACGGGAACGTGCTTTGGGTGATTTGTCCTCGTCTTTACAGCCTGACGAGTACATTGACGAATTTGTAGCGCTTGGTAAAAGAATAATTATCTAGATAATAATATGCGAGCAACTTAAAATGTTATTTCTTTGTTGTCCCAGGACCAAAAGCTATGCTTACCGGACAAATACTGGATGTGAAACGATAAAAGTCAAGGGATTTACGTTGACACGGCAAGCGAAAAACAGCTAAACCTGGAAAGCCTGAAAGAGATGCTACTGGAAAGCCTGGCACCACCGGACCAGCCAAGCGGAATTACCGTGAATTATCCGTTCAACATAACACGCAATAAGCGCAAGCTGGAAGTTTCGTCGGCGGAAATTAACAAACGATTTAAACTTACTTACTCAAAACGTAGAATTGTTGACTCTGATTTTAACACTCGCCCATGGGGTGATGTTTCGATTGAGTAAATCATCAACTTCCAGTGCGGTGCAATTGTTAATAAAGGTCCTGACACTGTGGCTTGCTCCGAAAAATGCTTCCAGCAGTATTATAAGAATTAACATAACAATAATGCAAGTCCCCACCACGGCTTCGCAAAAGTTTTTTTTACACACAATGCGCGCCATTGTAGCAAAAGTCACTTATTTTTTTTTCTAGGTTTCATGCGTTCCGTGGTGCCTTTAATACTTACTTCCTCCCGAAAGACTGTAATTAGTTAACTATTGTATAAAATTTTAACTACATATATATATATATATATATATATATATATATATAGTATTATAGTATGCACTATGGACATACACTATACAATTGTGATGACTCATATTCTGGAGTTGGAAGCTGTAGTCATAAAGTCCAACCGGGAATTGCAGCTGGAAAGTGCAGCTCCCAACTCCAGTTTATGACGTAACCGACGCCATTTTATGTTTATACAATATACTGTTTCTTCTAGCACTTACAGAGTAATAATTCATAAGTTATTTTCGACATGTGCCCGAGTAGGATTAATGATTTTACTCGCTTCTGGATGTATCTACTACGTACTGTACAAGTCGTACTGTACTTAATTCAAAAATAGTTAAAACTGCTGCTTCCGAATAGTCTTCCGAATTTTCCCACTAGGCAACAGCATCGACAATTCCAGCAAGCTGTGTTATTCCTAAAACAATCTTTTAATAGCTTTTGGACTTCCGGAAGACTGGCATGATAGATTAGAGGGTTGAAGACACAGCTGAGGTACTCTAAAACGATGCAGGTATGGAACAGAGTAACGTTCCAGTATCCCGTAAAATCCGCCACTAAAAAATAAATTATGGGCGGAATGAAGCATATCAGGACGCACAATGCCAGCAAGGCAAACAGACTGAACATTCTCCTTTCATTGTGGTGCTTCTGCTTGGTGGATCTGATATCCGCAACCGTTTCTCCTGTACCGTAGGCGGACGCTTCTGGCTTTGAAATGGCTGCAGCTGGAAAAGGAAAACTGGCGTCATCGATAATGTGTAAGTAAGTATTTTATTTTAGTTTGGGATGATGGATATCGTTAAACACTTTTTCTGATATGGACATCGTTTAATAAAAATTTCGGGCAAAGTGAAATCATCCTCGACTACTTAGTGAAAAGGTCAGTAAAGATTTACACCACAAAATATTCGTTTAGTACTCAAGACTTACTGAAAGTGAGCGAATTGCTAGGTGCATTTAGCACACGATTGCCTCGTTTTCGCAACATCCGGCGAAACAGTTTCGTGAAGATGACAACATAGCTGCTTAAAACGAATAGCGGCGGCAGATCGTAAGCAAGAATCTCCACTACCAAAGCGTAAGTTCGTTGAGCTCCAAAATTCACCGCGCACGGCAGGGTCATGCGATTATACCACAGCGCATCCATCACAATGTACGGCGCCGTTAGTGCGACTATCAGCAGCCACATCACCACGCACGCCACACAGGTGCATTTCACGGAGCGAATGTTTTTGTAATGAACCGGTGCGAACATGGATAGCAGCCGGTCAATACTGACCAGCATCACCGCGCACCCGGCACCGATGAAGAGATGTTTGGCGAGAAAGTTATAATAAGGACAGTATGCCGCACTCGAGCGCGGTGACACATTGAACCAGATGAAGCCGGACATACTGAACAGGGCCAAGCCAAGGTCACATATGGACACGTTAAGGAGATAGTACGTAAATGGACTGCGGATTGCAGCATCCTTCACGAAAGCGTAGATGAAAAGAATATTGTAAGCGATAGTTGCAGCGCATAAAACGGATACAACGGTTATTACAGGATACGGGATTGATGGTCTGGTTACGAAAGTGGCATTGGTGGCGTTAAGCGAACGGTTCATTAGCAATGCAACGTTCATTTTAAGCTACCTACAATGCGAGCAAGAAAGGAAGCTACGGGTTGAAGGTATGCGTTGTAGCGAAGACAGCGAAAACCGGTTTGTAAAGCTAGTACGCGCACAGACAGCCACACTCATACGTGTGTAAGTGAATGCGAGCGGATTTACCCACTCACACACACATGTGCGCGATCGATCGATACAGCAAGGCAGCACTCCGCTTGCGCTTTTTGGCAGCACCGGAATGCGCTGTCTTCAGTCTATTTATAGTCACAACAAAGAGGCTGCATTTGATCAACCAGCCTCAGCGGGCAAAAAAGGCTGTTCGCTGGCTTTTTAACATAGACCGTAGCCTCCTCATTTAGTCAGATTGTACAAAGGTAGGTACAAACAATTTGCAATACAAAACCAGAAAAAGGAATTTTTAGCAACGAAAGCAAGGAAAGGAAGTTTCAGCAACGATAGCAATTCGCCCAGTTTCTAAACCTTGAAAGATCGAGCAGGTGCTTCCGGAGACATAGTTATTTGTACGCATCATTTCATAAGATAAGTGCGCTGCGTTGGAATCTGTTTTTCCATGTCCGATGGTTTTAAGAAACGCTTGGATTTTTAAGTGAGCACACCGAAACCTTTGACAAGGAAAATCATTAGCATCAATGCAAACTGCACAGCTGGCTTTCAGTATGTATGGTAGCGCCTAGCACAAACCTGCGTCTTGAACGTAGATGGCGTTGGCTGGATGTCTTTCTGATTTTGATCGCCTTTGACGTTTATTCTGAATTCAGTTGGTCTCTACGCTCCCCAGTCAATCCTGATGACAGACTGAAAAGGATTCATTTAGTAAAGAGGCTACCGGTAGCATGTGATAAAAGGCGTTATGGCATCGAAATCCACTCACATAGCTCGTATGTGGTGTCAGGGGCTTCCGGTTTGCGGAATTGCCATTGATTCTTAAATGCTGAGTAAGGAGATGGGCGGCTGCAATATTGACGTGAATCACCTTGTTTGTCATTCAAAAGGCTTACGAATCCCGCCAACTTACCGCATTTAACAAATTTCTGCAAATATTCCCAGTGGGGAATATTTGCAGAAATCAGTTATATTCGGTATATACTGTAGATCCACAGGAGTCAGTGATTACAGTAAAATCTGGTTAGTAAGTAAATACGCCTACGGTTAAAACGATACTGTATGTACTATCCAGGTGTATATATTTTATGGAATGTTTTACTGCCCCTAGGGCAGTAAAATTTTTCGCTCCCAAGGGTAGTGTAAATCTTTCTCAGGCAAAAATTCTAAGGGCATTTTAAATTGCACAAATTATTCCAGTGTGAACAGGCTTAATCTTTTTATTTGGCATTAGCCAGTAAACATATCAACGGGCTTGTGCAAATTTAAACTAATTAAGACGAGTGAATTTCAAGCGTTTAAATTGTTTGAATACACTGCTCCACTTTGGTTCAACCGTGAAGTACCATTTGTAAACCGTCAAACCGTGATGTTTCCATAAAATTCATTGTAATCTTCTTTACATTGACGGGACTGAATGTACCCGCAGGTCCATTTACATGGATATTTTTGTCCCGGTTAAGAGGAAAAATGTGTGTATGTAAGCTTTATTGTAAAGTGGGAGGGCATTCCATACTCTACATCTCGCCGACGCCACCGGTAACTCCGTGCAGGTACAGAAATTAATTAACCGTCATCGATTGAATTTAATTACTTACTACAGCTCTTTCAACAGCAATAAGATCGAAAATACAACAATCAGACCAAACAAACATATTATTATTTTTGCAATAAGAACGTATAAAGAGTACCTTACTTTTTCAGTGAATAAATAAATTAGCTCCCGGCGCCCGCTAGAGTCGGTGTAACGACAAAATTAGGTGAGAGTTGATGTAAAATTATTGGCGGCCTGGATTGGCTACTACAGAATTTTTTGGACTTAATTAAGCTTATCCGATTCCCCGACAGCCATGAGGATTTGCTTGCGCCTGGGAACAATGAATAAAACCGATGCCGGTTTTTCCTTTCCCGTCGTACAGATAGCTTATCTGGAATTTTTCGAAAATTTTATGCAACCCTTCCAGCGCATGCACACACTCTCTCGCGAACTTCCGTTTCATTAGTTTGTCTAAAACAGTGTCGCAGCAGTTGTGCCAGAAGTCCTTCGACGGCTTCATCGGCAGCCGAAATTGCTGCACGCCGCCATGGACTATCGCGTGTAGCGTTGTACACTTTCACTGAGTCTTTGTAATTCCCGTTCTCATTCAAGCCACCCGCGATGAATATGCAATCTCCCCATACAAATGCGCAGTGTTTGTAGCGTGGCTGGATAAAGGACTCAACACTCTCCCATTGTCCAGTATGGACGTTCAGTCGCATGCAGGACTTTAGAAGTTCTCCCGGCATGTTATCATTGCAACTGTTGTTTATAGTTCGTCCCCCCAGAACGTAGATATGCTCTTGAAGTGCAACCATAGCAAAACCTTTCCGGAACCCTTGCAAATCGGGAAATTTTTGCCAGGTTTCATATACAGTGTCATAGCACTCCACGAACATGGTATTTTGATTGCGGCTTTCTGTTGTCACTCCAATGTGAAACAGTTTTTCATTTAATAGTATGCCGCTTTCCACTGTTAGAAACCTATAGAATTTCGAATTTCAGCGAATAACTTGCAGAACTTTGTGCAAAGTAGAAGTACAAGCAGGCCAGTGCTTGCGCAAGCCAATACAGTTCTTACCGTTTCGGAGTGGGCATTGCAAATCGTTTCCCGTCGGAAATATCGATCGAGCGAAACGTTACGGACTCGTAATACCAGAAGTAGATTTTGTTCTTTACAGAAATCGGGTGGTCGATGCGACGCGATAACGGAACTTGACGAATAGTACTCTTCGTCACATCCCATAAAATTGTTTCGTACCTATCCTTCTTCACGTGATGGTTTTTCGCATGGAGAATCACTGCCATTTCCGGACCCACGCAAGCACACAAAATGCCTTTTCCTTGCAAATTTTTTGGCAGCGGGAACGGTTTCACCGTAAACGTAAGCGAATCAAACAGAACCGAAACTCCACCGAACTTTTTCGGTCCGACCATATCCTGGCTGAAGTGAAACACGGCAGTGATGTGACGTTCATTTTCAGCTTTAGTAAAGGCTTGCTCCTTGATGCTGCAGAGGTGTTGCATCAACTGCTCCGAAGCTTTTTAGCTGGATCACTTTTACAGCCACGATGACCTCACCAACATAGCCGGGACGTCGGGTAATGGTTGCCTTGTAAACGGAACCAGAAGTTCCTCGGCCGATATAATCCGTGACGGGGTCATAGTAGTACCGCAGTCCACTGCCAAACCTTTCGCGCTCGGTGGCAGGTCTACCGGCCATTTCACTGATAAAACTGGTTTTTCAAACGTATACAACGTCACCGTTAGTATAATTGTTCGAACTTCCGAATGACCGCCAGAAAAAATGGATAAAATTATATTTACGCAAGTTTCGGCTTAATGCGTTTTGGCTTCCTTATAAAAATTTACATGTACATGTATAAAAATACATAAAATACATGCATAAAATTTACATGTAACCACGCACTTTTATACATGTGCATATTTCCGTCTTCTCATTTGTTTCCAGAAGGGTGGGCTTAACTTCGAACCAATCAGAATACGAGCTTATACTAATAATCGGTGCACACTTATTACGTAACGGTGCACACAAAGTCATGTATGCACACGCCGGTAAGAATCAGTGGAAAATTACGAGTACGAGTATGGTATCGTATCGTATCGTACCGATTCTGAAGTGCATTCCGTGCTTGCAGCAATTTTAGAAACTGACGAAACAACACGGTAAGGGAAACCATGTGAGTGAATAATGGTATCAATTAGGCGAAGAATAATGGTTTAGTCGTTGTTATCATTTGCCTGCATTATGGTATATCTGCCATATCATATGGCACGATGTTTCTAATCAACATATGGCCCATAATACTGTATGCTGATTAGAAAAACCTTGCGACTAGTAACGTTATGTTTTGTTTCAGGTACTAGCTTTTATATCAAACCATTGTTTCTAAACATAATAGGTATTATTTCTATACAGGGTGCTTCCGTGGTCATTGTTAGCACCCGATCCGTGCATGAAAGTTTGAATTAGTGTTGGGCCGGCCCGGCCCAGGGCCGCGGCCCGAACGGCCCGGGCCGAGGTCGGCCCGGCCCTTTTGGGAGGGCCGCGCCGGGCCGCGGCCCGGGCCGTGGCCCGTTGTGGACGTTAAATATTGAAAAAGACGTAGAAAAAACAAAAAATTTCATTGCGTTTTACTGAAATTTAATAGTTTTCAATGAGTTTTTCTTAATTTTCACAGCAATTGACGTTTCTAGGCTAAAATCCGTCTATTTTTCCGTTGACATACTGTACACGCTGTAGCCGCTTGCATAATGACATCCGGGTAAAAAATATCACTGTGCTGCAAGACGGCCCGGGCCGCGGCCCGGGGACATGTCGGGCCGCAGCCCGGATCGGCCTGCGGCCCGGGCCTTGTAAACGACGGCCCGGCCCTCTTGCTCGGGCCGGGCCGGGCCGACCCAACACTAGTTTGAATCATCCTTATCCGATGGGCCAGAGACCAGGTCCAACGATGTTATGCGGAGCCTTGGTAAAATCGGCGGAATACTTTTCTTCTGGCAAAACCCTTAAGACCCCTTGACAAAATCGATTGGAAAAAAATGCAGTGAACCAAGAAACATTGCGATAACGAAATACTGAAATTCCTATCTGCCTACATCATTCATCAGTTGAAAATTTATAGCTGGGCTGCCCATGCTTTTGTTGCTTTTAACGTGTCAGAATTATTCTCTACTAATACCAGAAATCTCTCTTGCCGTTGATAAAAATATTTTAGCAGTTAGTTTTTCTTTTGGGTGTCAAATGCTGGGCACGGTGTCCCGATTTGCGTTGGTGATAAGAAAACAAATTCGAATTCAGTATTATCTTGGAGAAATGAACTACTTATTCGCCATGTAACGAGCCGTATTTGCCCGTAACAACTGACACGGTTTAGGAAGAGCGAGATTTTGCGATTGAAATTAAGTAAAGTTGACGCGCATCTATCAAAGGTTTCCTACATTTGTATGTCACTGTTGGATGCTATCTTGTATCCAATTTTAACACAGAGCCTTGCATACTGGAGCTAACAAAAATAGCACTGCTCAGAGGCCAAGTTGCGTAACTGTATTTTTGCTTATCATGCACTGCTCTTTACTGAGATTTTGAGCTCACGGTCATTCATGTTTTGAGATATCAAGGTTTACCTATCCGATGGCTTCCAGTGTACTGAGTCTTGCGAACACAACGCCACGGGATAAGTATTTTATCTTGCAATGGTTGCTGAATAACGGTCCACTGTCCGATAAATTTGTACGCGTGTCCGATAATTGTTATCCCTGCTGAAAGATTAGATTGCCAATACATAACTGGAAACTTGTGATTATCACTTTACTTTTATTGTTAGTGTGAGACCCTACTGGCGCTGGCGCCAATTCGTATTTGAAAGTCCCCAGTAAAGTTGTTACGTGTACTAGATTCGTCAGAGAAACTTCCATTAATAATTGTGCAGTGCATTTATGTAGTACAGTGGTCGTTCTTTATCCTGCACGCTGACGAAACATCCACCAGAATCTACCAAAGTTGTGGAGGTATTACTGCGCACCTATGTATAAGCTTTCTATAACGGTAAGGGTCATCGGCGTCGAGGTTGCAAGAGCCAAGAACAGCCTTCAAATGGGTTCAAAGAGGATTAAAATGATAATTTGGCTACACTGACTGCTGGTAGGTGCTGACTGTGTCAAGCTCAACCCTTAATATTTATATAAAATAAAAATAGAAAACAAAATTAATAAAAATAATGCAAATAAAAAAATTAGCTGCTATAAAGTAACTGATTTGTTTATTTGCACTCGTATTCGTATAATTTTATCAGTCTGTGCATCGTAACCAGAAATTTAAAAGGGGTTTAACCGGGTTTCTCTGTTTTACATGTAAGGTTGATGATTGAGAATCTGAGATTAGCGAAACCACCCTTAAATGTGCCGTTAACCGATACTTTTTTTTGTTCATTTAAAAACTATTCAAGATTAAATAGCAGTTATGGACGATGGAAACTTTTCTTAGCTGCAGGTGAAAGATGAGCTGATACTGTATGTTCTATTTACGCAGCACGCCTGAAGTGGCCCTGATTTGTAGATTACGTCATGTATCTGTATATATGTGACAGTATTGTTCACTTATCTGATTCGTCTTAAGAATTTGACGTCTTCATGTACTCCTTCTTCGCTAATTTTCCTATCTATAATTTACAGATACCTAATTGCTTGAGAACTTTTAGCGGTCATGCTTTTCTTAACAATCTGCCACAAGCGTGCCGGGTCGCTGAAATACTCGTACGATGCTAGCGGTGCTATATAAGTTGCGCGCTCGACATATTTTTAAATAACTCTCATTTTACCAGTTTTAGGTTTAATCTGCAATGAACTAGGACGACCGTGCGTCAAAGGCGCGGTTTCTGACGTTGGCATCAAGAGTTGCCCTCACCTTCAGTTCACCAGAAATTAAGTGCTAAGTTTAAAAAAACAAGATATGGTCAACTGAGAACTAGCTGCAAACAGTTACTGCTGATTCGTCATTCCATGCACATGAAAGACCGTACAGATATACAAAATTTATTATAGTATATTACAGATATTTTTACGTACAAGTATACTCCTATTAGTATGTCCTACACTGACTGTGTTCTGTTTTTATTAGCGCTTTTGGAAAAGAAGATGGATGGTTTTTCGCTAAATTTTGGCAATTACAGTTTTTCGTTAGCAGCAGTTAAAAAGGCACAATTTTTATTCCCATGTTTTTAATTAAAGAATTCATAAATAGCCAATTTTTTTAAACGATTTCACAGCTCGAATTACGGTTGGCTTGCTCCAGGCTGTGGGACAGATGCACCGAATATTATTCCACACCATTGCACCTGCAATGAGTGGATGAATCATGAACCCCGGAGGCTATGACGGCCACAGTTGTTAGAAATTCGGGGCCGGAAGTCCAGGCATGGAAACCTCAGCACCAACCTCGAGCGCGTCTTCCCTTCAGCCGCCTGAGAAACTGATCAGAACCATTGTGATACGATAGTATCGCGAACTGGAGGCACCATGGGAAAGAGTCGGCATGTTAACAAGGAATGCAACGGGGGCACGTAAAATAACTGCCGAACAGAACAAGCATTACGCATAATACAAGATAAGATCACGCCCGGGTCCTGCTCCAGGACTACCTGCTTTGCCCTGTGGGCATCGAATCAACACTACAGCCATTTGGACCGGAAGCCTCTCGGTCGATTAGCAAGTTTGGCAAGTACGAGTATGTAGATGCGCCGCAATAAACAGGTCAGCCGTCAGGTGCAGTCAGCAGTATGTCTGCGCCACCGCATCAGAATCCAACATGGAAACGTGGCATTTTGGGAACGGCATCAGCTTAATCCAAATTACATCAAAATTAATATTCTCTCTTGTTTGGCCGCAAATTTCCGCTTTCTGCCAACGCTCCACGATGCGCGTTTAAGCTTGTTTGATTTACCGTAATGGTTATTAATAAGGAACAGCTATTAAAAGAATCGAATAACTGTACGCATTTAAATGAATGATAATGTCCATGACCATTTGTTGCAACTGAACATAACTGCTTCCAGGAAGTTAAGAAGAACAGTATGAATTTAGAACTGCGAATTAGGAGCTATCGTTTCCGTATAATTCTGATGAATGATCAAAAGATCTTATTCGAACTTTGTACATAATAACAGAACAACGAGATCGTTCGCATAAAAAAAGTAAAAGCAGTCAGAATTTGCCCACCAGTTCCCGTCACCGAAATTTGTAAGCAAGCCACAATATCAAACCGAGACCCAGTTTTTCCATTCTTTGGGTAATAAGTAATAACCAATACGACAGACCTCAAATTAGGCCGGAAAGGATAATACGCTAATCCGGGACATTACGAAAAGACAAAGTCATTTACTTTAAGAATAATTTTGTTTATTTTTGGGAAAGACAAGCCCGATATGGTTTAAGTGGTCATCCCCAACAATTTCTGACAAACCGTATTTGCGTACAGAACAGACTAAAAGAGTGGCGCTGCAGTGGTGCCGATGTATGCACCACGAGATACCGACGACCGCAGTCCTTCGACTCCTCCATCAGCAACCGAAAACTCTGCACATCGCCATGGACTACTGCGTGTAGTACTGTACATTTCCACTGAATTTTCGTAATTTCCACCGGCGCTCAAACCACCGGCTACGAATACATGGTCTCCCCATACGAACGCGCAGTGCTTGTACCGCGGCAGGAGGAATGACGAGACGTCTTCCCATTGCCGCCGAGTGATGACGTTTAAGCGGAAACACGAAGATACTGCATCACCCGGGTGGTTACTGTCACTATTACAGGTTCGTCCACCCAAAACATAAATGTACTCTTGTAGCGCAACCATAGCGAAATCTTCTCGAATTCCCGGGAAGTCAGGGAACGTTTCCCACCGAGCACGTACGGTATCGTAGCATTCAACAAACATTGTCCGCCTGTTATGCATTTCCAGTCCAATGTAAATTGCTTTTTCATTAAATCGTACGCCGCTTTTCACTGTTTCAATTCTGAAAAAAACGAAGCGCTTGAACATCACCTTAAAGATCTACTCGTAGACCACAAAGGTTTTTTTATCACATTAATATAATTATGACACTGGTCACGTTACATAGCTAAAGTGCTCTTCCGTCGGGCTTTGGACTAATTCATTGTAAGGCATTGGTCAAGCACACAAGCCTAACTACAATTTATAAAAATAATATTGTAGTTGTTTTAGACAAAATTTTGGACCGCTTTGGTTGGTGAGGACTGGCCAGTGGCGCGAACACCGTGTGTGTGTACAGATACACATTACATTGTGGAGATACGAGTAAAAAATCATTCCAAAACGAGTAAGGGCAGGCTGGCGCACCAAAAGCTTATTATGAAATGACCTTCTTTGAATTTTGCAAATATGTGCATCTTGATATGAACTAGATTGTCGTATGTGTACGTATACCAAATTCTAGTTCAACCTTTTTGAAATTTGCAGAACTACGTTGCTGAAAGTAAGCCACAGAGTCTTCTCCCGTTCTACCTGAAGGGAGAACTTGAAAAGCGAAGAAACGAGAAGGTCGTGAGCGCAACAGGTAGTGCATGGAGTGAAAAGCAGTGCAGAGGGCGCAAACCGAGTGAAAATCGTGAACGGCATGGTCACCAGTGTTATTTTATCCAAGTGGATGTTACGCGTATAAACGAGTTTTCAGGCTAATGCATACAAATCCTTTGGTCAACGAACAAAATGTAATGTGTTCTGGGGTGCCCGAATGCAAAAGTTTCCCCTGAATGTACGTGAGTTTGGTACCATCAACCGGGTCGCTTTCCTTAATCCGGACTGAAAAGGTTTATAGAAACCAGTATTGTTCTTACCGCTTCGGACTGCGTAATTCGTGAGATGTCCACAGGCATCCATCGGAAGAATCGATTACTCGAAACTCTGCAGTGGTTCCCTGGCGCCAGAAAAATATTTTGTTCCCGACCGTAACCGGGTGGTTGATGCGGACTGACAGTCTAATATGACGGACTGAGTTTTTCCTCGCATCCCAAGAAAATGTTTCAAATTCCTTGGCTGTCCGATTTTTGAACTGGAGCACAACGGTCTTCTCTGGACCCGGAAAGGCGCACTGCAGGCATTTCCCTGTAAATTTTCTGGCAGCGGGAATGATTGTACCGTGAAAGATTGGGAATCGAATAGAATAACACTTGCGCCGAAGTTTTTAGAGGCTCTCGATTCTTGATTGTAGCGAAAAACGCCGGTCATGTGGCGCTCCTGTCTGGCTTTGGTTAAAGCCTGCAGGTCAGTGTTGCACAGTTTCTGTAGCAGCTTGTTCGAAGACCATCGCTGCTCGGTATTTCTGGTTAGGCAACGCCGAATGCACTGCGCAAAATCAGGAGGAATTGCTTCCGCAACAAATGGAATATAGCCGTCGATAACTAGAACAGCAAACTGACTATTTTCTAGTGCGTGTCCCGCTTCGACGGTTGTCCTACTATCTTCTCGACATAGCCGTTTTCCTCTGCTTTGAGCGGGAACTACACAGTCTCCCAGTTCCAGCATAATGCAACCCAAACTCCACACATCGGTTTTTCGTCCGGGAGTTTCCTTCTTAACGGAAGTTAAAGCGAACTTATTTAGCATTTCCGGTGACATATAGCGTACTGTGCCGCGCAGATGGGAAACATCAGCGGAACATGTTGCACTATCCCGCATTTGTACCAGATCATCCAAATCAGCAATGGAAACTTTCTGTCGGCCGTTCGCTAGAATTTTAATTAAGATATTCCCCGGTTTCAAATCCCCGTGAATAATGCCTCTTTGGTGTACTGTATCCGCTCGCACATCTTGAACCACAGAGTCCGTGTACGGGAAAAACACGCATTTAATATACACACTCTAACCGGGCAAAATGCACGACTACGAAATATTCCTCATTTGGTTTCAAGATGAACAGTTCTTCTTGTGAATTTTTGTTTATTAAATCAAGTCTTTTCATTTAAATGGCAATTCACTCTGGAAAAAAAGGTTCTGTAGCTGAAAGCTCGCATTGTTCGGTGGTTCATCGCCATCAAGAATGTTGACGCGGAACGTACCCCTCCCCCTCCAGGGGCACCCCAAAACCACAACAAAATCCGTTTGTAACTCGTGCTTACGCCAAAGCTGTATGTTAATGGCTGCTTTCGAGCCTAAACATGATAAAAATTGTTAGAGCTCTAATTTTTTTCATTATTCAAGAAGTTCTCCAGTCCAGATGTTGTAAGACATCAGAAATTTATCAAATCGCGAATCGCGCGTTTGGCCCGGTTAGAGTGTGTATATTGAATGCGCGTTTTTCCCGTACACACACTCTGTGGTCCAAGATGTGCGAGCGAATACAGTAAATAACTCAAGCCGTCGGCCATCTCCAGTGCGTAGCTAATGACAGTAAGATATTCGAGCTGGGTCGCTTCGCGATGTATTTGTTTTATGAGCGCTGCCAGATCTCCACCTATAGAACAAATTAACAACATTCACGAAAACTGCAAAATCACGAGTGGTAATTCACGTTTTTTTACTTTGCCGCCAAATAATTATGAATACATTGGTGCGTGTAACTGTAAATATTGTTGTGAATGAGTTTGTGCGTGCGCTTCATACGTGGCAAACTGAAAACGTGAAGGCCGGCCGATAGATAACGTTTTTGCCGAACAATGCTTTTCGGCTTTCGATGCGAATTGCGAATTACGACTCGGCTGAGCTTGATAATAGCTCTAACTGTAAAAAGGTTGCTCAATTTGGTGATGAACGGAATCGTATGTTTCGGACATGCTATGTATACTTCTACAAATATGCTTGCATAGTGTATAACGATAACTTCCGATCAAGAACATTATCTCCTCTCTCAGTCTCTAACAATAACTTAGGCAAATCCGGTTAGGTTATGCATTTTTAACGGAGTATTCAGCTGCGGAATTTTAATTAAGGCATGAAGTATTGAATAAAGTTTTAAAATATTTATTATCGTTAATTTAATACGTAACACGAAGCGAACTGAATCATTTACAGAGGGCGAAGAAGCCTCATACTTTAAATGAGCCGCCTTAATTATGAACTCGTGTATGTTAATACAACGATGACTTTTGCAGCAATAAAGCGCCAAGTCTCCCTGTTTCACTCATTACGCTTCTTGTACGCTGACTGTTTGGTTACTCTAATCCGATTAAAATTTACGAGGGAGATACCCGAACACGTCCGCGTCAGATCAGCCTACACTTGGTACCATCAGAATCCTTAGAATTTCAGCTATTTTCTTCGAAAATCAAAACACCCTCTAATGCTAGATCCAACAGTGATCCAGATACGGAGACAGAAACGGAATCTATCCCGTGGAAGCGAGCGATACGATATGGATCGCGAGCTATGCGGAAACACAAACGTCGCACCGTAAATCGCTGACTTTTAATAATATTGAAAGTCTGTACAACAGAAATCAACAAGTGATCGGCACAGCTCGATCGTAAAACGTAGAGCCCGTTCAACAGTGTGCAACACCGTGCAGCACGTGCTATGCCGCGCCCACTATCGAAACGCAAGCCAATCAGAAGAGACACAACACAGACACGTAATCCTAAGGCGTAGCGCCACAGGCGTAGCGCCACTGACGTGAACGCTAGTGATCCCGGTCTCACATGCCTCTGGGGGGATGCCGAGCTCCTGTGAGGCTGGACACACTCCCGAATCCACGAGAAGACGACGGTCGCCAGTGTCTGTGCGTGCTCGAAAGAAAACATCAAATTCTCTTATTCCATTTTATCACATCAATTCCATAAGGCACAATTACGATGCGAATAAAGAGATCCAATTTATAAAAATACTATCATAGAACAGATCAACAGTTAAACAGATCAAAAACAGTATTAATCAAATGTAGACTAGGATCCTCCATTTCTGACTCGCAAAGGTCACAGGTCCTGTCCACCGTTTTCCGCACTTTTAATCCATTCCGCTCTATTGAGCAATCCTGCGCATCCGTAATGCGACTTCATCACACTCCGCTTGAGAATCAGGTGCGTATCAAGTACGACTTAGGAATACTGCTTCATCTTTGGAATTAGGTGCGTATCAATTGTACGACTTCAAAATGAGATCCATAAAGGTCATGGAGGGACGTCATGTAGACAAGCGTAGTTCGCTTCCTCCCTGGCAAAGGTCATCCTTTGCTGAGATGATCAGTTGAGATGTGCGACTCATTTTGGGTTAATGGTCCCAAAGGTCATGCGACTTAAATTCCGATACGATGACTCTCTCGGGCGGTAATGGTCCCAAAGGTCATCCGACTTCTCTTCAAATTTCCATTAAAGGTCATGGAGGAACTTAGCCAATTTTCTGCGGCCTTCAAGCACTTCTTCGCTTGCCTCCCTGGTAAAACTTGCAGTTTGACCTTTCCGTCGCACATCCAACTTCAGTATGCCTCGAGCGGCCAGAGTGCCGGCAAGTTTACCGTAACATCTCTGATGGGGCCGGCTAGTTACTGCATTAAGTTCACCCCATGAAATTTCCACATTTTAATCTTTTACTCTTGTTCGCCGCTTGTAGCTTACGTTATTACGAGAAATCCGGCTTGGTTACCGTAGGTTTTCTCGTTTCACAGATTTTGTCACTGAATCGCTTAACTAGAGTGCCGGCAGAGTTTACCGTAACAACTCTAATGAGGCCGGCTGGTTGCCGCATTAAGTTAACCTCATCAATATTCCACCTGTTGTCTTTCTCTTTTTCGCCGCTTGTGGCCCCGTTTCGTATTCAAGAGATCCGGCTTGATTACCGTCGTTTCTCTTGTCAATTTATAACACTGAATCGCTTAAGAAGGAGAGCCGGCTAACTGCCGTAACTACTCCCTTGGGGCCGGCTTTATAGACCGAATCAATCTCAACCCCAATAGGTATTCCACATGATTTCTTTTAGGCAATTCTGTGCTATAAACGCTGCAACCAACAAATACACAAATACAATCAATGTTAACATGTCACATGTCACGCCCTTTATACAACACCATCTTTCATCTTTGTGACGTACCGACAAGATGCCGTAGACGTCTTTTTTAATAGTGTGATCCTAAAGGTCAACACTATTCCATTTCATTTGAATCGCCCTCGCCATCTCTTGGCGGACGCTTCTTAGCGCTTTCGGGTTGATTACGGTCAGATGTTCGATCGACCGGTTCAGTTGAATCAACTTCCATGACCTTTGACGGGTCAACTTCTCGCTGGCCGCGACCTTTCCCTTGGCGACTGCGCTTAACCGCCTCTAGTCGATGGCGCGCATCATTTTCTTCCAGTCGCAGTCTTCGGTTATCAGGGTCATCTGCCAATCGGCGTTGTACATCAGCGAGATTATCCCGAAGTTGCTGGTTCCGTATACCACGTCGTCCCATCTGGTTAGGAGCACATTCTGGGCGACGGTCACTTTTCTTCACTAAGAATTCATCAATGTAAGTTTCGACTCCGTCCACCGGTTCGACGTAGTCACTTCCCAGGGAATCTTTAATCTTATTAATCCTTTCCTCTACCTGGGAAGCATGGCGCTGTATCAAGTTGCCTTTTTCCATCCGTGTCTTACACTTCTTCAGCGCCTTGCGAGCCGTATGCGCTATGCTGATATGTTCCATCGGTTGTCCCAGTTTAGCGACGTGAGCCCGGAAAAATGGTGGGATGTCATCCCTCATGGTATTGGATACCAACTGGTTCTGTGTCTTATAATGTGCCAGTCGTGCAGCAAAGACCTTTTGCCCCATCCTTTTTGCGGCATAGTCTTTCGGATCCACTTGTAATCCTATCGATGCTCTTGCTGCAAGCAACTTGAAGGCTGGATTTACGTATCGCAATACAAATTGAGCCACATATTCTTGTCGTTCGGGATAGTCTCTGTAATAGAACTGTGTCATCCCGACTGGGTCAGTTGTATCCAGCGGCATATCCAATAGGCTCAAATCCACCAAACTATGTAACCCATTCCGTCTGATAGGGAGATAACAGTCCCGTACCGAATCGCGGTGGATGAATAACCGGCGAAAAAGTCCTTGTTCCACTCCCTCTTTAATTTCTTTCGCGTAACCCGAGTCAAGTAAGAATTGGCTCAGCTGTCGCAGGATTGTGCCAATTTTGTTAGCTTCAACCGAATCCGGCTCAATTCCAAAGTATCGACAGATTTCGACCGTTTGCTCATCAATATCAGTCGTATTATATTCCATATCAATAGTATCGGGTTGTCGGTTATTAAATCTGGAGTTTAATCGCTGACCAACTTGGCGACGATTATCCAGTTCACGTTGACCTTCCGGTTCACGTCGCTCTCCTGACTCAGGCTGCGACGGTTCATTACTCGCCGGTGTAGCCGGTTGAAGGTCACTATCCAAAATCACGTTCCGTCGATGGGTCACATTCTCTTGAGATGCAGTTTCCACTACTGAGCTAGTTCCTTCCATCGCATCGTCTTCTTGTACGACACTCACAATTGGATCCACTACATGAACCATTGACTCCACCCGCTGATACTTTGGGGGTGAATCTTCCCTTTCCGCGCTCGATGACCTTTTACTCGCGCCAGATTCAAAACTTGCATAATACTTGGTTCGTTCTTGCCATCTCTTATCGTGTGGGTCTGGTGTTCGGTTTCGCGTATGTTCGCGTCTTTTATCCCATGACCTTTCAGGTGTTGACATTCTGACGTTGCGATTCGGAACGCAACTCCCATCGGCACCTGATGCCCTTCCTTTTCAGGCTCCGTACGGAATGTCTCCGCACGCCGTTTCTCTTCACGTTCTCTTGTGGCTGCCAAGATCTTTGCCGTATCAATTTTCCGCTGGATGGTCATCTCAGTTATCTCGTTTCCATGACGTACCCATCCTCGTCCGCCGCGGTAATCTCTATCGCGAGAACGTTCGCGTGACCTTTCATTACGGTAATCCCGTGTCCTTTCACGAGAATGCTCGCGTGACCTTTCTCTCCGTCGTTCGGAAGTCCGTTCATGTTCTCGTGAATGTCCGCGTGACCTTTCTCTATGCGGAGGCGATCGAGGTCGAATAAAACCTTCGTCCCGCTTGAAACTTCTGAGCGCCTGCAGCACATCGCTTTCAGTTTGGCGAGATTTTCGTAATTCGTCCATACGTCTTTCCACTTCCTTCTTTATGTATGGTGCCGGCGCGAATCCGTCTTGCAGTCGTTTTTTCTCCCGCAACAGCACTTTTAATAACTCGTCTGGCATAGCGGCTGGATCTTTCATTAACGTTTCGATTTGAATGATTAGGGACTGACGTGTCAGCTGCACTTCTTCTTCATTAAGGCTGGCCATGCCCGTGGGTGCAGCTAAACCCGACGTACTGGGCAATGCTTCCCGTGCGGCCTGTTCACTTGCTCTTTTATTTTCCGCATTAATTTTCGCCCGGATTTCATCTTCCATTTGCCGAACTCGCGTTTTCTCTTGATCTTCTTCAAACTTCTTCCGGTATGCGTCTGTTTGTGGGCATTTCAACGGCTCCAGGGTGTCATCCCAACCAGGTTCGTTGTTTCGGATCGCTTCTCGATAACGATCTTCGAATAGCATTCGCTCTTCTACTGGGATGCCGCCGTAATTCCTTGCGCTTATGAGATTTCGAAAGACATCCAAGTTCCCACGTTTAGCTTCCATAATCCCAACAAGCGTAACGACATGTGGGTCTTCCAGCTTGTGAATACAAGTGTAGCAAGGGAATTTCTTATCAACCTTTTTGTTATTCCGTAAGCAGTCCGGACACTTTGGATTATAGCCCGTAGACCGATCAATTTCTGACGTTATTCCTAAACGTTTGGAAGTGGCTTGACCTTTCTGTGCCATTTTTCCGCTTCAATCTGCAATTATAAAACAGTCCATCATAATAACCTTTCCACGTTAATCTTTCCCATTCCTATCCGTTATCAAGGCTTTCTATCATTTTTACGCCTATTCCGTTACTGAGCTGAGACTTTCCTAGCTCCTGCTGGCTTTTCTATCACTGTAACGTGGTGACCTTTCTCACGTTATCGGCACTCTCTGACTACTGTGACCTTTTCTATTAGTCTTATCACTGTTCAAGTTAAACTCTTCCCGTTCCCTTCCCGTAACACTTTCTCTTTCGTTTTTGTACTGTTTATGCTTTTTCTGTACTATGCAGGGTTCATTACTCGCTGCATATTGCACTCGTCCCGTTTACTCGGATTCCTTCGCCGGTGGTTTGTCCGGCTTAAAGTCGATTCGACCATCTGGTTTAATATGAAGCACTTCGTCTGCGATCAAGGCTTCGACGGCGTTCTTAATCCGCTCTTTATCA